TGGTGTCTCATTGTTTATGTAAGATTCTTAGATTACTGGAATTAATAAACTGTACAATATTTTTTTTTTTGTTAAACACCAGAACTTTGGTCCTACAAGTCCAAAAACAAAAAGAAAAAACACAACTGAACCAACATGAAATCTTACAATTAACTAGAAAAAATATCTAATTTATACACCAACATAAAACAGGGCTTGCAAAAATATCAATATCTAAATCAATAATGAAAAAAAGCTTACACTTCTTGCATTTGCAAAGCAAATTCAGTCTGCACAAAAATTCTTATAAGCAGATGCATTAGGAAAAACAAGGCTGCTTATGATTTTTGGAAAATATATGCCTGTGAATACTTAACACCCCCTCTCAAACCTGAAAGTAATTGTGGGCACATGTGTTTCTGGAACTTATGCAAAGTGAAATACCAATAATATTTAACATCATAATCCAAATGTTCTTCTACATTTTTACATTTATTCCCAAAATTATGATCTTGAACAAAGTTGAGATCATTCATATACTACATACATATATATATATATATATATAGATATATATATAGATATAGATATATAGATATAGATATACCAACCTACTGTTGTTGGAGCCAATTGCTTAATTTATGATTGAATATTTATTTCTAGTTGACTATTTTTGTCTGGTTTTGGTATGATATATATGAACATAAAATATTTTGGTTTAAAGTATGAGTTGACTGACTTAATTATAAAATTATGAATTTGTTTTGCTGCCATGCATAATTTACGCTGCTTCTCGCCTCCGCCCCTTCATTATGGACAGGTGACTGCTAACCTGACTCCGCCAGATGGATTTGCTGGATTTACTCCGCATATCCATCTGGAAACCTTCCGTTGAAGTAATTTTGGGAAGGGGCGAAAATACTTGTTAGCTGATTGGCCTATGTTGGTGATAGACGGGCCAAATAAACCAATCAGATCAACAAAGCATATGACGTACTAACAGAGTGACGACGAAGAGGAGCCAATTGATAGATCAAACTCTTGCCGAAACCAGTTGGGAGAAGAGCAAAAACATCTTTTCCTCTGAGAAAAGCCTCCAGAGCAGTGTTTCGCTCTTCTTTCAGTGAAGAAATACTCTGTAATTCCCATAAAACTTGCTCGATAGCCACGCTAACGCTAGTTTCATCGGCTGAAGCCGCCATGTTCTTTAGACTGAACTGTCGCGCTTCTCGTTGCGTCACACCTCAACCCGCCTCAAAGCCAACGTTGATTGGACGTTCGTTTGGTGAACGGCTCCAAATTTTCTTTAACGAAGAGTAGCCAGACTGTTCTGCGAGTGAAACCTTGAAAGCTTGCGAGATCAGGATGGTCTCACAAGGCTAGGTGATTGCAGCACCTGGATTATATTGGAGTTGGCTATTGGGGCCGGGTGAGCTCTTGGATTCAGTCAGCGCAGCCATACAGTTTTTGACCGCTTTTGATTATTGTTGTTTTTTGAGTGGCAAAAAGGAACCAAATCAGTCGATATGATCTTCCTGTCACGTCATATTGTGGTAAGAAAATCGAAGTTTGTTTTGATTTTGGAAAATAAAGAGTCTTGATCAAGAGGAAAGAAAGTTTGTTGGGTTGCAAGGTCACATTAAAAAACAACTGACAGAGCTGAAGTGAGTCTAACTTGCATGCTTCTGAACCAAGAGTCACGTGCATCTTTAATGGAAAGATTGCGCTATTACCTACAAAAGAAATTGTTTAAGTATATATATATAGTCAGAAATAGCATTGAGTTTGAGACTTTATAAACGCAAACTTAACGCTATTTCTGAGATTTTGAATTGAAAAAGGTTCCTGGATGGGAAGCGTAACATCTTCAAACTTGGAAACAAAGTCCGGTGGATTCTTTTTTTTACTTTTTTGGAACAACGAATAAACTGTAGAGACCAATGAACTGGATCCCATGTTTTTGTTCATCTCTGTTTTGAGAGGGTTTTTCTTTGTTTAGTTTTTTTGTTTGTTAGCCGGAAATTTAAAAAGTGAGTTACAGAGCAGGTCCAACAGCATCACCACCTTCAAACCACAAAGAAAAACAGGAACCTGAGGATGAAGAAATATTTTTAAATAAATATTGGTAAGTAGCACAAATTATCTTTAAGTTCATGAACTTAAAAAAGAAATTGTGCAAGTAAATTTAACATGTGTGTGTGTAAATAATAATAGAAAGGCTCATTTAAGGTAAACAAGACACTGTTACATGAAAATATGTTTATTTTTTTTTTATAACATCTGGATCTGTACATGTATTTTCATAAAGTTGCTTTTTATATGAACATGTGATGAATTCAGTAGAGAACAATGAGAAAATAATAATCTTGTCAATTACAACAATGATCACACGGAAATGCAGGCTCGTTTAAATGCTCCTGTGCAAATCCAAAGAGATGATTATAAAAGTGAAAAATAAAAAAATAAATGAAAGAATAATACATGGAGTTTAAAAACAGTGGCGATAAATGTAGCTGTTTCTACAGAAATGTTGACTAAAATGACAGTCATTCATCACAAAGCACACATCTTTCCGCAGTTGTGAAAACAGTGGTTTCAACATCTCTTCCTCTTCACAAGATGTTTTATCTGGGGGTAAGATCTCAAGGAGCGGGGCAAAACACATAAAAAAAAAAACACTTATCACGCAAAGCAGCAAAGCCAAAAAAAAAAAACAACAACAAACGCTTCCTTTACATTCAGAGCACCTGTTTTGGAAAAACGGGCAACCATAAAATCTTGATAACTGCACATTTGGCTAATGCTGTGCAACAACAGCTCACATTCTGCACTTGATGGTTAATTTTCCATTGAAACAGATCTTTGACTTCTGTCATGTTCACAGAATTTGAAAGGTGTGAAGTGGTTGACTTTATACATCAAACATCACATGTCAAAACGAGAATAGCTTCAGAAGCAGGACTCTATTTTGGGGTTTTGACCTTAAGATTAACATTTTTTGGAAATTAGCACCTATATAAAGCTTTCGAAAGCCTGAAATATGACTGTTCCTGGTAAGAAATATTTAATCTTTTTCGTTCCCTCTTTCGTTTATAGACTCTAAAGATTATTTTGCTTTTTAGGACTTTAATGTCAGAGAAATAACACAAAATATGGCCCGTTCTTCTTTCCTGGTGTTTTGGACCAAGGTCGGATCTAAAAGTTGCAGGATTCCGACCTCCGGAAACTGGAATTGCCCATACCTGGTATAAAGGAGCTCATAGCTAATTCAATATCTTCTATCTTTAAGGTGTCTGTATTGATATTCTTCTCTTTCCGTTCTGTCAAACAAGGTGGTGGTATTGATAGCCAAATATCTCTACTTCTCATCTGATGGCTTTTTTTATTCATTTCATGTCACCCTCTAACCCTTTAGTGGCAGTTTTTCTTCAGATATTGGTAGCTATCACATTTATTTTACATCTGGTAATAATGCCTTGATTCTTCTTATACACTATATTGCCAAAAGTATTTGCTCACCTGCCTTGACTCACATATGAGCTTAAGTGACATCCCGTTCCTAATCCATAGGGTTCAATATGACGTCGGTCCACCCTTTGCAGCTAGAACAGCTTCAACTCTTCTGGGAAGGCTGTCCACAAGGTTTAGGAGTGTGTTTATGGGAATTTTTGACCATTCTTCCAGAAGCGCATTTGTGAGGTCGCACACTGATGTTGGACGAGAAGGCCTGGCTCTCAGTCTCCGCTCTAATTCATCCCAAAGGTGTTCTATCGGGTTGAGGTCAGGACTCTGTGCAGGCCAGTCAAGTTCATCCACACCAGACTCTGTCATCCATGTCTTTATGGACCTTGCTTTGTGCACTGGTGCACAGTCATGTTGGAAGAGGAAGGGGCCAGCTCCAAACTGTTCCCACAAAGTTGGGAGCATGGAATTGTCCAAAATGTCTTGGTATGCTGAAGCATTCAGAGTTCCTTTCACTGGAACTAAGGGGCCAAGCCCAGCTCCTGAAAAACAACCCCACACCATAATCCCCCCTCCACCAAACTTTACACTTGGCACAATGCAGTCAGACAAGTACCGTTCTCCTGGCAACCGCCAAACCCAGACCCGTCCATCAGATTGCCAGATGGAGAAGCGCGATTCGTCACTCCAGAGAACGCGTCTCCACTGCTCTAGAGTCCAGTGGCGGCGTGCTTTACACCACCGCATCCGACGCTTTGCATTGCACTTGGTGATGTATGGCTTGGATGCAGCTGCTCGACCATGGAAACCCATTCCATGAAGCTCTCTGCGCACTGTTCTTGAGCTAATCTGAAGGCCACATGAAGTTTGGAGGTCTGTAGTGATTGACTCTGCAGAAAGTTGGCGACCTCTTCGCACTATGCGCGTCAGCATCCGCTGACCCCGCTCCGTCAGTTTACGTGGCCTACCACTTCGTGGCTGAGTTGCTGTCGTTCCCAAACACTTCCATTTTCTTATAATACAGCTGACAGTTGACTGTGGAATATTTAGGAGCGAGGAAATTTCACGACTGGATTTGTTGCACAGGTGGCATCCTATCACAGTTCCACGCTGGGATTCACTGAGCTCCTGAGAGCGACCCATTCTTTCACAAATGTTTGTAAAAACAGTCTGCATGCCTAGGTGCTTGAATTTATACACCTGTGGCCATGGAAGTGATTGGAACACCTGATTCCAATAATTTGGATGGGTGAGCAAATACTTTTGGCAATATAGTGTAACTCCTTATTTTAATTATGGCCATGTAACCTTTTCTTGATTGTTTGGGAACAGACGCTTCTTATCTACAAGCCCTGGCTTTATGTTATCACATCACAGCATGTTTAAAAAAAAAAGAAAATTTAAAACAATCCACTGTACTTTGATTCCAAATTTGAAGACGTTTCATTTCCGATTCCAGGAATCTTTTTACAATTCAAAATATCAGGAATAGCGTTAAGTTCGAGGTTTTATACCGTAGCCCAACAAACTCTTGTTTTTGTTTTGAAAACATGCAAATTGAAACAGATGAATGGGTCCACCCCTTTGGAATGGAGGTCGTTTGGCTTCTTTTGTTAGACTGCAATGCCCCTTCTAAGTGTCTGAAAGGGGGGCTCGTTAAAGGAAATTGTTGGCCTGGCTGAAAAGGCGAGGTCCTCTATTCTCCTTTATGGGTTGCTTTTTACAAAAACTTGTCTATGTAATTTGAGAGGGTCGGATTTGCTGCTGAATGAGTAATGTGACATAGAGCCCTTTTTTTGGTAAATAATTAAGTGTTGTATAATCTAGTTTTTACATGACTGCAGCTCAACGGTAATACCCTCTATGTACCTCTATTTTTGTGGGGAGGGTCAAATAACCAAACATCAAGGTGAATTCAAGCTGACATAGAGGTGTTTCTTGACCTGAAGCTCGCCAAGCTGCCAGCAGAGCCCTTCCTGTAAGACACCCAGAGCTTCTTGCTAATGATGCCCTGTTTGTAAAGAGCCGTTAGCAACTCGTTCCGAAACTTCTGTCCGATGAAGGCGTACAGCACAGGGTTCACCATGCAGTGCATGAAGGCAAATACCTTGGTCACCTCCAGCATGCTCTCTAGTCTGTAGAGGGTATTGCAGTCTAGTTCAATTGTCTGACCTCGGGAAAGGGTGTCAATCAGCACAGTGATGTTGTAAGGCAGCCAGCAGAGAATAAACGCCACCACCACTGCCAGGATGACACGCATGGCCTTATGCTTCTGCTGGTTGCGCGTGTTATACAGAGTCACCAGCGTCCAGCCATAGCAGACGGCCATCACCAACAGGGGCAGGAAAAAGCCCAAGGTGTGCCTCAGAACTCGGATGCCTACCCGCCACCGGTCGCTGCTTTCCCCTGTTAGATTCTCGTAGCAAATGGACTGGTTCAGATCAGGAGCATAGAAGCTCTCTCTTTGAATTACTACAGGTAGAGACAGCAAACTGGATATCAGCCACACAACACAGCAGACCACCTTCACCAGAAGGTGGCGGGATGACATCACTCGTGTGGCTTTCACAATAGCAATGTACCGGTCCACACTGATGCAGGCCAACAGGAAGACCCCGCTGTAAACAGATGCCTCCTTGAAGCCTGAGAAGAGCTTGCATGGGATGTTGCCAAAGATCCAACCGTGATGAGAGTCAACAGCCCAGAAAGGGAGGGTGATGGAGAAGAGGAGGTCAGCCAAGGCAAGGTGCATCAGGTAGATATCTGTGCTGGTTCTACCTTTACTCATAGAGCATACAACGTAGACCACCACACTGTTTCCCACCAGGCCGATGACAAACACGATCATATAGACCACCATCAGGGCTAAAGAGCTGAATCCTGGAATGTGTGTTTCGCAGGGATCACTACCCGGGACATCTGGATATTCGTAAGTGGTGTTGGAGTCTTCCCAAAAATCTTTTAAGTCAAAATTTGAGTCCTGGAATGAAAAAAAGAATCATGGTGAGCAACAGGAGGAAGTTAAAGGGTAGAAACAGAGTTAAACCACTTAGATGGGTCCAGAAATGGACACAGAAAGGACTTTAGAGAAAAAAAATAAAGACCGACATTTTAAAGTCAAATGTAAAAGATCTGGACAAATCATAACATATTTAGAATTATTTGGGTTGCAAGACATTCTAAAATCAGTCCATCAAACCCGGGGAGAACAAAAAAGAAATAAACTCTTTCATTTAGACGAACTTGATTAAATGTCTTCCACCTTTTTATAAAACAAGGAGTTTTGTTAGTGGCTGCAAAAATACCAAAGTGGAGCGACAACCGCAACGAACTGTGGTTATCCGTCAACCTGGGAAGGGTTTTAAGGCTGTTTCTCAACAATCTTAAATTCATCTTTCTATTTTCAGGCATGAATATCCCAAAACGTTCACAGCCAAGCTCAGGAGTGGTGGTCTGCAAGGCTGCATCTAAATGAAGCACAGAACTTCTGGCTAAATATTCTTGACTTGATAAAAGTTAAATGCATATTTGGCCATAATAAAGCACTATTTTTTAAAGAAAATTTAACATTCAGTTTAGGTTTAAATGTCCAGCACCATCTGTACTGAGCGGTGGTGGAGGGCTGGTGATTAAGGCAGGTTTGCAGACCCCGGATTTAGTAACTTTTTTCAGCAGAATGCTGGAAAAAAAAAGCAATTTAAAATCAAAATTGAATTTTGTGGTCAGCTGAAGTTTGGCAAACATTGGGTGCAAACAATGAAAGTACATTTCATAAAGTAAAGGGGGAGAAAGTATCAGTAGATGCAGATAAAGCTATAGAATCAGGGTGTAATGATGCAATTAGTGAATAACCCACAGCTTTCCCACCTTGGTTTCATTTTGTTAAATACAATGAACTTCTGAAAATCAAATGACATTTTGTTCTCTTGAGGTTAGATTAAAAAATACATTTAGACCCTTCATAACAATTTCTATCAGTATTACTCAACAGGTAAAACCTTTGACTTCCTTTCACTCCGTCTGGATCTTTTGGTGAAACATAGGCTGGATGTGTACTTTAAAAAAAAAATAATAAACAGAGCTCCTAAAGGGAGTTACTGTAATAATCATACAGACAAAAAACACATGCTACTGACAGACATTCTGCAGAAACCACTGCAATTTCCTGACGTAGTGTTGAAATGATTCACCACGGGTTTAAATCATCCTATGTAAATGTTTATCTGCAAGGGTGCATATATTTTCAAATAAATCATAAGTGATGTTTTAACTTATGATGAAAAATAAAAAATTACTTGACAATTTTAATGACACACAAACAATATCTTCTCTGAAGACCAAAAATGTGACACAAGCAGCTAAAAATATCTATATTTTTTAGTAATACTGACATAATGGAAAATTATTTCAATCAAAAAAGGAGGAAAAAATGCAAATATTCCATACCTGTGTATCTTCTTCTTGGCTCGTCAGCAGTAAATAATTAATGAAATTCATCAGAAGGACTTGCAGCTTCATTCCTCCAGACATGGTGTGTCCAGGTAAAAATAATCAAGGTTAGTGGTGAAGAGATTCTGTGTTTACTTCGAGGCGAAGTCCCTCTGAATGTGTGCACACAGTGGTGAGGTTGGTGCTATTAGCAAAATGTGAGAGCCTCCAGAGTGCAGAGAAACCACAGATATTATCTGTCTCTGTACTTTTGATCAGAAGGTAGGGGAAGGAACCTGACAAAAAAAACAAACTACTCACTATGTTGCAAAAAAAAACAACTATATAGATATTTTTTCTGGTATTTTGCAAAGTGGGGAGTTTAGAAAAGAAAAAAAAAGTGAGGAGTCATGCAGATGTCAAGGTCAGCTTTAAGTCAGGTGTAATGCTGCGAGAGCCATCATGTTCTATCAATCAGCTTAGAAACAAGTCCACCTTCCTTATATTCCAGTCAAACAGACGCTTTATTAGGTCTGTGCGGGCGGTAACATGTGTAACTCATGGTAACTCTTCCCTATTCCTGCTTCTATTCTGTAAATCAGCTCAGCTTGAGGTGATTGTTCCTATCAGCCCCATCTCCTTCAGCCTACTCTCTTACCCCTGTTTCCATCGCTGTCTCATGGAAATGTTATTCTGTGAAAGGAAGAATAGAGGATAGAGTGTACCTCTTTTCATCTGTCAATGGTAAAAGACTTGCAGATAAAGTTTTACTGATGAGATCAATCTGGAGGATGTTTTGCAGTTGTGCATGCAGTCCATGCTTGCACGACTACAAAGAAATCAAAATTTTCATTAATTAACCTGAGATAATTTAATCTTTGCAGTTATTTGCATCTTGCATTTTGTTGGACATGGCCGTGCAAACAGCATGTTTAGATAATTTTTGTTATACTGTGTGGGCAACATTGGTTCAGTGTGGTTAGCCAGAAAAGACTCAAGAGGCATATCCTGTCCCCTTCGAAAAAAGCAGGCTTCAAAATGTGAAGACCTTATTTCCAAGAACAAGCCCTCTGTTGTCTGATTTAAACAGCTTTGGTTGAATTGGCAGCATGCTTGAACAGTGCTGGGTGGAAATTATAAAAGGAGATCAAACCCTTATTAGTGAACCTGATGGAGTTGGGACAAAGGGGAGGAAAAAAAAGTGAAAGAAAGATTTTAAACTCCAGCAGAAAAGTTTGCTCAGATATTGATTTATAAAGCAAAGGTCTATTCAAATAAAATGTCAGTTTCATGATCTGGCATGCTACTGTTCAGTAAAGTTAGGCTTTTAGGATGTAGCACAAATATTGTTGTTTCCTCAAGTTTAGTTTCATTTCCTTTTTCCTGTTCACCTTTGAAAAGCAGTTTCAAGTTTTAGCTTTGGTCTTTTTCAAAGGTGATTTCTGGATCACTGGTTTCAGTTGAAACTTTAGAATTTTCTGTTAATTTGTTTCGTCATCAACATTGGATCAAACATAGAAGCTTTAGTTGGACTTTCTTTAAAATAAGATAACGAATATTTGTTTACAGTCTATGGGAAAATTAAATTAGCCCTGTCATGCAGCAGCATAGAAACCCTTCTTCACCTGTAGAATCTGTCTTCGTTTATCCATTTCTAAAGTCGTAAGGAGTTTTTGCCCACTCTTTCTTTAACTGTCCTTTGTATTATATTGGAGTAAAGATTTTTAAGTAAAGCTTTAGCCTTTCTTGTCCGGTCGTAGCCTTATATTCCAGCCTCAAAACAACTTCGCAGGGTTTCTTCAGCTTCCTGTGACCATATTTTTAGAGTTCTCTATAATACAGGTTGCCTCATTTAAAGGAACTTATACTCTGTGCAGAGGAAAACAAATCATCCGATTTGCCAAGAGGAGGTTTTACTTTAGAGATACGTATATGAAATATATGATGAGTCCTTGACATTTGCTTAATAATCCAGAGTTTTGTTCTGTCTGGTAGAGCAGCTGAAAACCTGTGGGAACGTCTACTAGAGTGTGAGGCATGATTAAAATCACAAGCTATTGCCACAAAGGTATTTGGCTGTTGTGTCTTTCACTTAGCAACAATGAAACTGTTGACATCACACTTAGTCTCTGCAACAACAGCAGGTAGCATGTAAAACAGCTGCAAAAACCACACTGCTAAACTCTTTGTGTAAATATTATGCATGAAAACTAATTTGCAAGAGTGCAATATCTGGCTGTAGATACAAAACTTTACAGTAACATGTCCTGGATGATACCATCTGTTGGTCAGATGTGCTGTCAACCGACCTACCTTGAGCTTTCGGGCCTTTAAATCCAGTGATGGCGTTACTAACGCCTTTACCTTGTTTTAGTAACAAGTAATCTAAGTAATTACTTTGACTGTAACTATAACGCAGTTACAATTGCAGACACCCCGTTACTGCGCGTTACTCAGGTCGCACAATGAACCTTTTTTCATGATAGGACTCGTGCGCAGCTGCGTGAAGCTGACACCCCACCCACGTCAAAAACTCTGAATGGTTAGTGCAACGTTAGTGCAGATTTGTGCAGAAAAAAAATATTGTTTGTGCTACTTTTGTTTAAGAGATATTAAAGATTATCTATTAAGGTCATCCAGAGGTGCGCGCCTTGTCATGAGAGAGGGGAGGATGAGAATGGCTGATGTATAGTGAGATTCCGTCTGTCAGTTGGGAAGGTGCATGTTTCCGCTGGTGGGTGTTAACGTACAGCAGACACAGAGAGATGGAGAGTGAGGAGGACTCCAGCAGCAAAACAGTGTTCTCCTGATGGAAATACCGGTGTTACGTCGAGCTGCGTTTCCCCATCACACGTAAGCGACAGGAAACGCGCATGCTCGCTAAAGGCGCGCAACAGTCGCCCTGTGCTCGCGCCACAGGAGAACTATGGAGAGCGTGAACGATCAAATGAAAGGGAGAAATCTGGATGGATAGATGGATACTCTGCCTTTTCAACCTACTGTATTTTTTATTTTAAACATTATTTGATGGCCTTTGTGGCAGGGATGGAGATCCATATTTTATGTCACACGCAGAGTATACATCTTGATAGATAGATGGATAGATAGATGTTGCAGTATCTATAACAACCCAAACACACAGGATTTCAGAATTAGACATCCCCAGTTATTAATTTCACCAGATCTGAATGCCCTGTTAAAAAACGTCACATGGCGTTCCCCCTGATGTCATTTACGTTGAGTTGCAATAAATGCTAAACTCTCTGCAGGTTCTTGTCTTTGTCATCCGCTCTATTCAGCTGGCTTTGGAAACACACGGCGAGAAGGTGGGGGCTGGGTGGTGAGGGTTACGGGGGTGAGAAACGCAAAAGTAACGCAATAGTTACTTTTACTAGTAACTAGTTACTTTTATTGTGGAGTAACTCAGTTAGTAACTCAGTTACTTTTGGGGAGAAGTAACTAGTAACTATAACTAATTACTTTTTCAAAGTAACGTGCCCAACACTGTTTAAATCTCGGTCTGCTTGTATGGTCGGAAAGTCTGGTGGAGAGACAATGGAGCCGGTGGCATATTGCTACAGCCATGTTTCAGTAAAACACAAAATAATACATTTTCCAATATTCTGTCTGTTTCCTTGCAAGGGCCTGTAGTTGTTCCAACTTTTTTTCTATATATCTTACATTGCTAATAATAATTGAAGCAAGATATGGCTAAACTGCTCATACTTGGGGCTAAGATGTTCAGTGGGTGATTCTGGAGAGGCAAACATTGAACGTGAAAAGTAGACTGACATTCATATTCATCCAGTCACATTCATACAAACCCACCCTCACACCCATACGGAAACATACAAACACACAACATAGACGCACATAGAGGCAGACACTAATGATAGTTCTACAGTCCTCATCTATACACAATCTTCACGGGTCCCCTCAGGAGACTGCAGGCATAGGTCAGGTCAGAGCAGGGAAACCCACCCGAGATGCATTCGGGCACAGTGATCATATCCTACCTGCCTTACAGCCACTCCAGCCATTCAGAGTATTACTCATATGTAGAGGTAACTGTTAGTTTCTGCTCACTCTCTCAATTATCAGTTTTGTTTTGATTGTTTTCTTTGTCACTAATGGGTAAAGGAATTAATCAGGTGAAACAAAGAAGTGCAACTGAAATATCAAACTCCCACAACAGTTCCTTTTGAAATTGCACTTACTCTAACCATCAAACCTAGAAAGTGTAACTCTATTGATGTCCACTAGAGTGTGGCACCAGTCTCCAGTAACAGTTTTGCTCTGTTGTGGCGCATCTGGCAGTGAAAAACTCCATGGAAGGTAGGTCTAAAACTGAAAACGTGTTTTGTAATACTGAACTGCAAGTTATTGATTCTCCCCAGCTTTTAAAACCAGCTCTAAAATGATCCATATAACTCTTTAAACTTTAAAGTTTAAAGTGTCAGAAAAAAAAACAATAAAGTTTTAGATCTTAAAACACAAAAAATGTTTAAGCTGGAAAGCTAAATAAATATTGGTAACTGATGATTTAGATGATGTTCGGTGACTTTATGTATTACTGACTGCATAAATAGGCCCTTTTTTCTTTTTCTTTTTTTATAGTTTCCTGTCTAGCAGTGTGGCAATAGTCATAGTGTTCTGCTTGATTTATGCATATAAACAGCTTTATTATAATTCATGCAATCTGTATTTATATAATATGGACGCTGCGATGTAAGTAGAAATAGGAAAAAAGATTAAGAAAAGAGGAGATAAAAGGGAGACAATGATAAAACATCTTCAGTCTGCTTCATCACCTGCAAAGAGAGATGTAAAAAAAACAGCACAACAAACGGATATAGTATAATAGATACAATGAAGTAGGAACTAGATACTATCGCTGCAGTATAAGTGGTATAGGCCTTTGAACTTTGCAAATCAGTTTCAAGTATAATACAAATTCACAATGTGGGCTTTGTGCATACAATAATATTGTCTGTAATATTTGTTCACATTGAGACCAAACTTTAGATCAAGGATAATGTTATATCTCTCCAGGTAAGAAGTTTTGCATGGATTTAACAATTCAAAGTTTCCGTTACCCTCCGTAACTACTGTAGCATTGATAGAGCTAAATCATTTTCCATTACTGTGTCTGATGTCAATGTTCATTGTGAATTCACTGTAATTGTTTTAAAACAAGAGTATGTTTATAGATTTAGTTAAATTTATTCATACACAGCCTGGCCAAAAAAAAAAAAGCCACCAAAAAAAAAGGTCA